AATTCACATATCATATAATTCAGTAGTTCAGCGGACAATGGGGTTTTTGTTTTTTAGGTTTCCTGCCCATTTTTCATCTTTGCTTTAAAGGAAATATTGACTTTTGGGTCTAATAATACAGATTTTTAACAATAAAGTATAAATCTTACAGATAAAATCTCTTATTTAATGTGTCACTGCTAGTTCACTAAAAGGGGATCTCAGGATATTTTTTGTTCAAGGTTTAAAGAGTGCCCCAGGGTGATGTCCTTGACGGGCCCACATAGTATAGGCTTTTTTTTTTTCTTTTAAAAATATGAGTTTTGTCCTACATTTTTCTCCCATTATATCTGGGATCACTTATTGTGACCCTTATCAGAAGGCCCATGGGTGGTAGACAGACACTCTGTAGTGCTTTTGGTTACAGTGTAGCTGAGGTCATAGCTAATGTCGGCTATCCACCTGGTGGATTTGTTTCTTCTCTCAGAAGGTTATTCTTGCTTCTGCTGAATAGAGACCAGTAGTTGTATCTTAAATGGCTGCTGGCAAACTGTTAAGACCCCAGATGCAACTTAATTCACGAAGAGACAGTACAAATTTGTGAACTGTACTGTACCAATTGAGCTGCCCCATAAGGCTATGGTCCTCAGCCTTAAAACCCTAAAATACAATCTCAGGAGGTGTATGGTTACGTCTGAGAAATATCTGTAGTTGTATCTTAATGAAATTATGTGCCTCCACACACATAGCTGTATTTATGCATATGTGTACCTACTTATATAAGTAGGCTTCAAAAAGTTTGGAAAAAATGGGATTTTCCCACTACTTTCTACCTATCTGTCTGGCTATACCCATCCGTATGTGATCCTATACTTGGTTTGTGGTCTTTGCTGCAGTTGTTGCCGTTTTAAGGGCAGGCGGCCTTTCTCTCTGAGCATGGCAACATACTTTGGTCATGCTGTGCTCACCCCCCCCCCTCCGCCCTTAGTTAATAATGCCTACTCATCATTCAACTCACTCACTTCAGGAAGACTTCCTTGATTAGGATGTTGTCAGAAGGTGCCATTGAGTGGCTTCTGACTCTTATCAACCCTCTGCACAACAATTAGAAACACCATACCACCTGGTCCTGGGCCTTCCTCACAGTGGTTCCTCCGTCTGTGCCCACTGTGGCAGCCCCTGTGGCATTCCTTCTTGTCCAGGCCCTGCTTCTTTTCCGCGGCCCCTCTTGACCCAGCATGCTGTCTACTCTCTTGATAACATATCCAACATGTGTGAGGCAAAACCTTGCCATCCTTGCCTCCGCGGCACATTCTGGCTGTACTTCTTCCAAGACAGATGTTCTTGCGGCAATCCATAGTACTTTCAGTATTCTTTGCTAGCACCATAATTAAAATTCATCGGTTTTTCTTTGATTTTACTGACTCGGTGTCCAGCTTTAACATGCATAGGAGGCAATTACAAAGAGTTGCTTGGGTCAGGTGGACCTTAATCTTCAAGGGAGCATTTGTGCTTTTCAACACTTTAAAGTCTTGTGCAGCAGATTTACCTTGGTTTGGGCTCTTTACTGCTGCTTTCATGAGCATTGATTGTGAATCTAGGCAAGATGAAACCCTTGACAACTTCCTTCTTTTCTTTGTTTGTCTTGATGTTAACGATGGTACAGCTGTGAGGATTTTGGTCTTTACATTGAGTTGTAATCCATACTGAAGGCTGTAGTCCTTGATCTTCATCAGCAAGTGCTTCAATTCCTCCTTACTTTCAGCTAGCAAGGGATAGATTGCCCTAATTACATTCCTACAGGACCGTTGTAAGGTTACCATACTTAGTAAGACTTGCTGAGCAAGTAACTCCTGTTCCCAACCACCTCCAGGGGGAAGGTCTCTTTATTGATGATAGTAACCGTCTTCATAGTTTGTAGGTGTCAGGGTCAACAAGAAAGATACAGCTTCACATGGATTGAACACATCTTTACTTACATAGAGACAGAATGAGGTGACCTTTACTACTGAATGTCAGGCCCCCATGACCAATAAGTCTTCCTCTGTAGCCAGGGCAGGGATTTGGTCTGCATGCACCCCTTTTGTACCCCATACCTTTTCCCCTGGGAGCAGAGAGAGAAGTGAGTTTGGCGGTGTGCCATCACACACACACACACACACACACACACACAGAGCTAAAGCAGCTCCTGGGACTATTGGCTTGTGCTCAGGACAAGAGGGGAAGGACGTTCTGATAAGCCACCAGCTGCTTTAGGATGTGTTTTGGGTCAAAATGTCAGGTGGGAAAAGGAAAGGGATTCAGCTCACAGCTTCATCTCATCTGGGAAGTCAAGCCAACACAACTGACCTGTTTGTGGGTCACTTGAAAAAAGCAGTAGGCTGTGCTTAGACTCTGCCACCCTTAACACGTAAAGATAGTGGTGAGCTCCTCTCTTGTCTCCTGATATTTTGGAAGTGAGTGGGTATTAAGTTTGCTGAGCATTGTACTTAGCATTTTACATTTGCCATCATCTTAAATCTTCCCAGAATCGCTTGAGTTTTGGCTAGCGTTTTCCTTCTTATAGAATAGGATAGTTGATGGCCACCATTCAAGTAATTTTTAGGCCTGTCCTTTGACCCAGGTTTCTTTGCCACTGAAGGTTGTGTACTTAGCTATATAACAATTCTCACACTTGGCTGTGCATCAGACACACTCCATGAGCTTGCTTAAAATAGAAATGCCCTTGCTGCACCTTTATAGATTCGGATTCAAAATTTTTAATGATAT